TCAATAAATTTATTGTTTCTCGTTTTCGTTTTCTTTTTGTTTGCGTTTTTTATCCGCCGATTGTTTACGAAAAACATTTATTATGCATAGTTTGGTTAGACAGGCGAGCAAGCTATCAATTTTTCACCTTTCCTATCTGGCAGATACATCAAACAAAAACTTGAAACTTGTTGCTTGAGTTTCGGTTTTCAGTTTTTCTATGGGTGTTTGAATTTCTGGCTGCTAACTGTGTCGCTAAATGTGCTTGGCAGAGTTGCTGTTGTTGGGTTGATAAATTCCATATAAATCAACAGCAAAAGCAAAAGCAACACACTCTAAAATCTAAAATCGACGACTACCTAAGCAACAATAACAATGAGAAATGACAAAGGCAAACTACAGCGACGACGACAACGCTATCTGAGGGAGAACTGATGATGATTTATGAGCGTCAGAAATCAAGTAGAAAATTACGGTAATAGAAGAACACAAGGCGGACTGCACAGACACTCGTACGCACAGATACACATGAGCCCGAGCTCATAGATACCTTCCTACCTACAATTTCCAACTTTACTTTAGCACAGACAACCGAAAATATGTACAAACAAAATCGACACCGTACATTGGGCAATTTTAGCTAGAATTTATTTCGGGTTTGGGCAAACACAGAGAGAGCCCACATGAAAACGATAAACGATAAAAAACATGTTTCCCAAGTCACCAATTTCATGTCGTTCGGGGGAGTTATTTCATATGCTAATTGACAATGCAAATATTGAGCTAGCGCCTGGTTAAAGCAATTTGCATTTTATTCGAACAAAACTAAAAGTGTCGGTTATAAATCCACACACTCACTCGTGTGGGAGAATTAGAAACAGAAACAGAAACAGAAACAAAAATTGATGGCATTTTTTCCTTCGAGGGGCATCAGTTTCGCTTTGAGTCTAATTCATTTAGCAAGACGACACCTTGTTAGAGCCCTGACTTATGTCGGGGAGGGGGATGTGGGCTAGCGGGGGGACATTTCCCAGCTGCCATGTGTGTGGGTTTTAGCTGGAAATGTAGCGACTAGGTGTTAATTTTGTTTGTTATTCGAAACAGTCGACAGTCGTCTCTCGCCCCAATCCCAAGGAACAAATAGTCCACCAACAACACGAACAACCGAGAAACACAGTTCTGAAATGAAAATTTTCGTTTAAAATGAAAATTAACAAGGCATGCGGGCGGGTGTAGGTGTTGGCAGGGCAGAAGCCTCAACAAGTGGAAATTTGAAATGGAAATTATCTTCAGAGGTCATAAAAAAGGTTAACAAGGGCTCTACCAAGATGGTTAGAAATGTATGTTTTAAGTTTTCTATATTTTTGTATATTTTTTATATATTTTATATCACAAATCTTGCTAAAATGCATTCCAATCGAAATGAGTCACAAGTTAATTAACACAAACCAAGCGGACTCTTTAGATTGAATAAGATTTTCTGGTCTTCTTAGAAAGTTACCCAGGAGCAGCATCACATCCTTTTGATAACCCTTTCCCCGGCAAAGAATCAAACGAAAACAAGCCAAATGAAACTTATTTAATATGCCTTATATAGAAAGCAGTTAATTAAATCGACCCTGTAGGAGGGCGGCTGTGGCCGGAGCTTCCCTTGAAATCAGTTAACAAAAGCCCAAAGATAAACAGAGCCAGTTCGAGGAGGCTGCAAGGCAGAAGGGGACTACAAACCACAAAAAAAGAGAAGAAAGAAAGAAAGGAGCAGAGGCAGAAGCAGCAGAAGCGGCCCCAAGTTGAGTTGAGAGTAAGAAATGCCCAAGTTTAAACAGAATTCAGATCGAGATCCGAGGATGGATGGAAATGGAAATGGAAGGAAGGAAGGGCGAGCTGGGCAGGCATCATTAATTCTCACCCAAGTGTTGCACGACGAGCGGAGCAGTTGCCTCAGCCCGCTGTGCATATTTCCAATTAAAGCGACTTGCAACTCTAATGAACTTGAAGATATCAATCTACGCGCTGTTAACCCTAAAAAACCGCAGACAGACGACGACCAAGAAGTCCATCCGTCCGTCCGTACGGCACGAAATAAATGTCAGCCTAATTAAAAGGCAGGGAAAAATCTGAGACTGTAATCGAGCATGCAATATTACTCATAAATTTTCCCCTTCTTTCCGCTCTCTCTCTCTCTCTATCTGTGGCCGTGGCAACTTTGTTTAGAGGCAGCAAATTAATTGAAATAGCACCGAAAATAGAAGTTGCTGCTGTTGCATGTATCCAAAAGATACGCATCTCTGGGTTGCATCTACGCACATGTTTCTCTCTCCCAGTCCCAAAGGAAGCGCTCGGCTCGCGTTAAAACAAACAAAAACATATTTTTCTTATAAACAGAAAACTCTGAACGAAATCATTTTATTTTCAGCAGGCAGCATCAGGTTCTCTTGTATCTGTGTATCTTCCTTTGGCTTCACCTCTCTTGAAGTACACTGGAAACTATGAAGTTAACAAATGTTTGAATTCAAAGTTTTACTCAAACAGTTCTGGTTCCTATACTTGAGAAAAACATTTAGTAAATTTGCTTTAAAAGGACTCCTTATTACTCACATTTTCTTTCTCTGTACTTTGAGTATCTTTTTGGGCTCTCGCATCGAAACATAATTAATTTCTGTTTGTTTAAGGTCTGCGCCTGCGACTGACTGTTGTTTCCTGCGACGGCGACGGCGATGACGATGGCGATATTTGTTTTCCTCCAAGAGGAGAGATTCGAGAACTGAGAAGGGGTGCTGCTCCTTGAGATTCATTGGAATTTCAATTTTCAAAAAACGATACTCCATACAATACATATTCATTGTGATGGCCCGGCATCGTGTTGGGCATTTAAATGCTCGCTCATAAATTTGTTTTCTGCTTTTTTGCGATGTCATAAATTAAACATTTTCGAAACTGATACGCTCCGCCCCTCCCAGTGACTGCCCCTTTGGTTTTTATTGATCATCAAGTTGACATTCGACAAAGAGAAAGAGAGAGAAAGAAGGTATATATTTTGCCATAAATTATGCGCCTAATTAATTGGCCTACAAATTCCAATTCCTCCGCTCAGAATCTTTCCCAGTTAATTAGTCAGAAACAGAAAAGCGAATCAAACGAATCTCGAGTCTCTGAGAGATTCTCCATTTTGTCTCAGCAGGTTGTTGTGTTTTTGTTGTTGCTCGAATCTCAGAGATTTTTATGGAAATTTATTTGTGTGTCGCAGATTTATAACTTTGAATTCACATTCAAATTGAGCTTTTCTAGGAATTTGATTTGTTCGGGCTTTGAAATTGAATAAAGTATTATTTCTCAGATTTCTTAGGCCAAAGATTTATAATGACAAGATGGCTTACCAAAGAGTTCTAAAAATAACAAACTGCGCATCAAGTTTAGTTTTCGGAAAGTGTCATAAATGTTAGAAACAAGTGAGTTATGGTCATGAGTTCTTTGTGGTGTCTAAAGTAACTGAAAACAAGGAAACTTTTAGAGGAATCAAAAACTATTTCCCAAGAACAAAGATTTGACAGGGAAAATGTATTTTAGATTACCAAAAAGTTAGTACATCAACTCGTCAACGAAATAGTAGATAATTTACTTCATCAGAGCTCAACTTTCAATTACGAAATAACCCATTTCGAAAGTTGGTTATACCTTAGGCAACCAAAGATCCCAATGGCAGATGAAACTTATCATCTTCTAGCCGTATTTCGCCATGATCTCCGGGCCTATCTCAATTGGCCAAGGAGAACAAAGAAGGCAGAAGCCGGAGGCAGACGTTCATAATTAAAAAATTGTCATTTTGTTGTCGTTTGCTTAACTTTATCTGCAATTGGTTACAGCAGAGATTACACCTGGCAAATTGTGAGGTGGGTGTGGGTGGAGGTGGGGCCACGGGTGTAAATCAAAGGCGGCAAATAGTAGACTCACAAATGCTCGGCATTGTTGCTCCTCCGCGACTTATCTTCTGGGTTTTCTTGGCTCGGTTTGGTTAGGCAAATCTTTGGCGGCACTCCCACACCTACGGTTCCAGTTCCAGTTCCATATTCAGCTTCAGATACAGATACAAGAACAGCTATAGATACAGATATAGATACAGAGATACAGGGGCAACCTCTTCTGCGGCCTTTTATTTGTCGCTGGCTGATTAAACTTGCATTATATATATATACACAAATAAATATATGTACAAAGAGTGCCGTTAAAGCAAACAACAACAAGGCGCGTTCTTTAATAAAAAATAAGAAGACAAAAAGACAAAAAGAGCGGGGAAAAGCGGGAAAAGAAAAGTCCGGGAGGAGGAGTGAAAAAAGTTAATTAAATTGTAAGCGAGTGGCTGGCTCTTCCATTGGCACACACGCAACTTCTTCATCATCCGGCGAATGTCTGGCCCCTTAATCCCGTGGCGTGATTAAAGTAGTCCACTTTCGGCTAGGCCCAGGGATAAAACTCCCCGGCCATTTTCATCTGCCACCCCACCCACGCTTTTGCCCCCTTTTCTCCGCCGGCTTTTCCTGTTTGCTTTCTGGGAGCTGCTACTTTTCCTCTGTTTTCCTTTCGTGGTTTCCCTCGGCTTTTGAAGTGCTGCCGCAGAGACAACTGCAATTGTTCTTTAGCCGCCCACAAATTTATTGTCCAAATATTAACATATTTGCCGCGGCACCCAGAACATAACTCAGGCCGCAAATTGTGGCAACTCTTTTTTCTGTTTCCCTCGGACAGCCCGTAAATTATGTCGCCAAAAACCTTTTTTCCAGCATAAATCCACTTTTATGCTTATTGCATAATTAAGTTATTTGGCCTTTAATATTTTCTAATTATACAAGATTTATAAACGCTTTTTACGACCGCCTTTACGATTAACAAGATTGCTGGATGCTCGAAATCTACGCTCGGGGATCTCGTTTTATGGAAGTCGCTTAGTTTAAGTTTTTATAGCTGCACCTTAAACCATCGGTTATCAGATAACTTATCGCAACTCTTTTTGCATCTCATTACAGCTGGGCGGAATTGTATGAGGCAGCAGCAGCGAATCAACCAGAAAGCAGCTAACCCAACGGAATGGAAAAAATGGTAAGTTGAGTTCAAATTAGAAAGTGATTTTAAAGTTAGTAAATAACAAACTAAGGGATAGATTCGAAAGATTCTTCTTCTCAATCGACATTTCCCTTTATTTTATTAGCCAGACTTAGAGTTTATAGACTGGCCTAGGACTATAATTTAGTTTTCTCTACCATTTTGCATACAACAAGACATCAGCTAGACGTAAATATAAATAAGAGGCCAGAAAACTTGACCTTTACCCGCGCCAAACACTTTGCCCCTTGGCTACTTCATTGCGCTTAGTTTGCCGCACAATGGAGAGAAAAATGCCAGGGCCCTCTTTTTGTGACCCGGCCAGTGCAATTGACCAAAGGAGCCTAGAAGCCAAGGAGCAGGAACCTCCTGGTAGTCAGCATCCAACATCATAAACATCCTCTCCGTCTGCGGTTGTCGGCAGTTACTTTTCAACGCCAATTTTGCTCTTCAAAACGAGCCAACTCCTGGTGCAGAGAGAGAAAAATAGTGTAAGAAAATGAAATGAATTTTAAAAACGATTCTTAAATGAGATGAAGATAACCACAAGTTTTTAAAGTCATTTTCCTCTCTGTACGACTACACTTTTGGTTTGAGCCTGGTTTTCTGGTTTCGGCTGCCGTGGGCGATGCATCTTCAGACGCGACTTGTTGCCCCATTGTTGGCTTACCCTTTTGAGCGAAGAATATGGGAATATGGCCGAGAGACCGGGAAAGAGAGAACTGAATCTTCGGGCATATCTTTTGCCACTTTAACGTTAACGAGCTGTTGACTTCTTTCTGCTTTTGCCGGCAGTTGAGTTGCCAAGTTCTTCAGCCCGACTCCATCTCTACGTCCTCGTCACCCATCATCATCTTCTTCATCTTCTGCTGCTTTGCCTATCCATCATTCTCTCATATTTCCTTTGGCTTGCCTTTAATGCAAAATATCCTGGCAAGCCTTTCAGTCTAGTTAGCATCTGACGGTGTCGTCTCTTTCGCCTGCTCTGCAGCCGTCTCTTTCGCCGTCTCAACTTGTCTGGCCAACTGTCGAAGCTTTTTGTGTTGATATGCTATGCGTTTTTTTCTGTCTCTCTCCAGACTTTGTTGTTTTATTTTCGTTTGTTCGAGGCTCATTTGTTATGCGAGACATTTCGAAATGTTCTCGTAATTAAAACATGAGAATATTTCCATAAATACAAACATCGATCCAGCCAGATGGGCAAACATACTGCAATGACACATCATCATTCTCAATCCGTTCTCTACAGTCTTTTTATTTTTTTGTTTTTTTGTTTACAACGCGCTTGTTTAAGATTACAAATAACTAATTTAATATGCCGAACATGCAACGGCTCCTCTCCCAGCGCAGCATGTGGCGCTCGACTGCGCTGGGGCAAGATGGGATTATTCGGTTAATTGAATTATAATTGTAGACGGCTATATATACGTACATAATCCCCCTATTTTCTAGTGATTTCCCCACACTCCCTCGACCACTCCCTCGCCCTGATCACGTCGATCATGTCGAGCAGTCAATCAATGTTCTAAAGATATTTTCATATTCTCGATGCCAGCTCGCTCGTCGTGGCTAAAATGTGTGTACATTCTGACATGGCCTATGGGCAGAGTTCATTAGAAATGCCAAGGCAGCGGAGAGGGATCTCATTGGAGATGGGCTTCGATTGGGTTAGAGATTGGATACACAAATTGTTATGATATTTATTGCTTGGAAAATTATGGGAATGATTATGAGTTGTAGAAGTGTTGGGTGATAGAGGGGTAATTTGTAATAGAAATCAAGGGATTAGGGGGCTAACTGGCATGTCTCTCTAACAAACAATTAAATATATTTAACTAGTTAAGAAAGATAGATAGGTAAATTGGTTGATATGAAAATAAGTAGCAAAAAGTGAGCTATCATTAGCTAGAATTCGCCTACAGAAATTTTTGAAAAACTATTTTTAGAATCTGCATTAAAGATGAATAGTTGAACATTCATTTAATATAGTTAGCCAACTTTTATTGATGATTTCAACTATAGAAGTATGGGAAGAAAGTATGGATGGAGTATAGTAAGTAAGAAAAATATATTTCTCAGCTTAACAAGATTAACAAGGCATCCTAAAATAAGTTCATAAGTTTTATGTAAAATTTCTAATTTGTTGTCCTTGTAAAAACTCCAGAATAGGCTAGATAAATGTAAATACAACAAGGCAAACTGAATTTGTTGAAGGCAACTAGATCTCGGGTTAAACCGAATCATTTGCCCAAATCAGTTTGCACCTTTCGGTCGGTCGGTCTGTTAGTCCAATTGCCCCTGATTCGATTCGATTCGATTCGATTGATGTGAACTTTTGTGGCACGTCGGCAATGGCGTCAGTGTAAACAACAGTGGATATCCACCTAAGGCGGATCACGCACAGTGGAACCACCCGTTGAGTGGATGAGGGTGGAGCGGCCTGGAGTGGCACATCATCTCATCCGACATCCCTTCGTGCTGTTTCCTGCCCGAAAAACACGCGCTGATTGCTTTGGCTGTTGAAATGCGCTTGAAAAAATAAACCAAGAGCCCAGGGAAAAAGGCATAAATTATTCGGTGCACAAAGCCCCACCTCCTCTCTCTACCTTCTGCTTGTGGAAAATTAAGGTGACCATATGTGGCCGGAGGGCACCCGACTGAGAGTAAGTGAAGCAAGAAAAACAGTTCATAAAATCAACAAACAGCAGAAGCTGAACGAAGATCCACAGAACTCGAAGTCGAAGTCCGGCGATGGGGATAGGAATTGCTATTGGAATTGGAAGAGGAATAGGAATAGGAATCTCGAACAGCATTTGAAATGCCGTGCAGGGAATTCCTGTGTTGCTGTTCGTGTTTCAAATAAACTTCGAAATGCATAAATAGTTTACAACAATAACAGGGAATCAACAGCAGCAGCAGCAGAAGCAGCAGCATTTCCCCGAGAAATAAAGAAAAACAGGAACAAGTGCGTTGATTGCACCCAGCCGCCTGCACTTTACGGTGGGAGTTGGGCGGAAAAAAACGGGGGAATTTCGTGTGGGCCGGGCTATTTTGAAAGCGACTGCAGAATGGAGAATGGAGAATTCAGAATGCAGTTGCATCTGCAGCATGCCAAGAGTTCATTGGTTCCCACTTCCTCGCCACCGAGTTTCCCCCCCGAAACTTTTCTTTTTCCACTCTGCTCATTTACATTTTTTGTGCTGCTCAGCTCATTTCATTTCCTTGGCCTGCGACCGGAGGGAAATCAAAGCTAGCCAGAGATTTGGCTTTAATTTGTCTCAAAGAAACTTAATTTTAAATCAGAAAATTAGAAAACTTTACAAAGCTTCCCTTTAAAGTTACACAAAACTTTTTTATTTCTAAATTGCAAATCAGTTTTCCTGTTTTATCTCTCGCAAAATCGCTTTCCATCTGCGTTTAAAATAAAATGGCAACAAATTGCCCGGGCCAACTGTAACCACTTTGCAACTTCAATTTCTTGTTACAAGTGCAACATTTTATTAACCCTCTGGTTCTAGCCCACCCCACCCCACCGACAGTTCGAACAATTTCCCTACATATTTGGCGCTTTGGCATCGTAAATATTTTTATTGCCTGGCCATAAAAAAGAATAACACAAACAGAACGAAGGAAAAACTGCAATAGACTATCAACAGTTTCACGCCTTCCTCAGCCTTTTGCATACTGCTATATACGTTCCTATATATATGCACGAATATCGGTTGATACTTTCCGTCCGTTTTGTATCTTTGTTTATGCCACACATGTTACGCCTACGAAAAAGTCGTATAAAACATCGGGGGAAGTTCGAAAACACACATCGTCCCTGTCGCATGTCCCGCAGGCCTATTGTCTGCCTTTGAGTCGGAATCGCACTGGAGTTTGGTTGAGTTGAGTTGACTGGCTGTTGTTCCTACATTTGCAGGCCATATGTGGCATGAAAATGCTAATGGGGGAAACTAAGTTTCTACCTAGAGGCTGCACAGGAAGAAAATGATAGAAATCTAGAAATCGAGCCATAGCAGTAAGAACTTTATATGATTTTGAAGGAGAAAGAGTGGTTGGACAGTGAAAGATCGAAAAGGAATAAAACCTTTTTGATTATCTTTGATATAATATCTTTTCCTCAGTGCAAGAATCTGTTTTTACATTAGTTTGGTACCATATAGTTTGTCTGTCAATCAGAAATACAAATTATGCAAGCAGAAAAGATTGAGATTGAGATTTATTTTCCCTACCTTGCCTGTTCTTTATATGGCACTCGACAGGAAAAATCAATGTGGAATACTAAAACCCGCTTATCGGAGGAAACTTGACCTAACTGACTCTAGAAATATTTCTAAATTTTTGAGTGAACAAAATCTGAAAGCTGTCAAGACTCAGCAGTTGATATGGGGAGAGTACAAAGTTCATCTGTCAGTTGGGGGGAGGGGAATCGAAATTCGGATCGGTATCAAGAGTCATGTGCTGTCCACTTTCCCAGTTTTTTAGTGAAGCGGCGGCGTTTTCCCTTTGAAATGCCAGCAAAGTGCCACAAACAAAAAACGCTGATAAGCCCGCGATTTATTTATGATTTTGGTTCGATTTGGGGTCTGATGCTTTCATAAATTTAAATTCTACAGTGGCCCTGGCGTTTCAATTAAGCAATTGTTGTAAATTGTTTTTCGATTTTTCCGCTCGCTCTCTCTCTCTCTATATATATATATTCTTGCTTCGACCGATATTGATATTGATTTTGATATTGAGTGATATATGACGGGGCCGAGAAGCAGACGGCGTGTATCGATAAGACTTCCGTGGGACTGGCCAAAAGAAATTAGTCAAAGTTGGAAGCGCTTGCATGCAAATTATTGTTATGGGCAATTTGGCCATTAGCCACAGCGCCATAAATTATAAACAAGACCCAGAGCAGAGATGCGAGATGGCTCATTGAAATTCCCCTAGCCGAAGGCACAAATCCGAAGACCAAGAGCCAAGGGGGAAAGACGGCTGCCTGG